CTTCAGTATTTGAAAGTCAAATATCATGTGCAGAAAATATATAAAAGGAAAAGCCTATCCTATTTGAAGACCACCACCACTTATAATTCCAGTGCCTAAGAGGAATAATTTAGACCTTAGCCAGAAGTGATGATCAAAGATCAGATTCTTAATACCATTTACTTGCTCTTCCTTGACCAGACCATGGCTGCCTAGAAGAAAGAAGTCTTTTGTGTTTATTTAGAAGTCTTTTATGTGCTTAGATTATGAAGTCTTCAACAACAAAAGTCATGCCATTGTGTTGGACAACAATCTATTATATTAATAAGTAGCTATTATAATTATAAATAAAAACACAAAATAATAATGGTTATCATTAATGATTATAACAAACTTGTTTTTGATTGGTTTTCAGTTGTGTCCAACTCCTTGCAACACCATTTAGGGCTTTCTTGGCAAAGATTACTGGAGTGGTTTGCCATTTCCTTCTCCAGCTCATTTTCCAGATGAGGAAACTGAGGCAAACAAGATGAAGTGACTTGCCCAGGTCACACAGCTATTAAGTGTCTGAGGCCAGATTTGAACTCAGAAAGATGAGTCTTCCTGACTACATCACCTTGCTGTCCAATAAATTTATACACAGTAGATATTCGATAAATGATTTCTAATCATATTAATATTTATTCATCAATTAATTCTTAACCATAATTTGTCACAATATGCAATCATTTTAGCAACAAAGAAATTTTTATCTTAAACTCAGCCAACAACAAAATCTCTATTGTCTTAAACACAGTGGGTGCTTAATAGATGTTTGTCGACTGCCTGAGAAATGACACAACTTCATCATGTGCACACTCTCGATACAGTCCAATTTTTTAGATGTAATCATGATGAGACAATAAAAGTCTTGTGCAACAAACAAACATAAATTTTTTCAAATGGATTGTTGACATGGGGCAGCTGGGTGGTGCAGTGGATAGAGCACTGGGTGTGGAGTCAAAGAGACTTATCTTCCTTAGTTCAAATCAGGCCTTGGACACTTACTAGTTGTGTGACCCTGGGCAAGTCACTTCATCCTGTTTGCCTCAGTTTCATCATTTGTAAAATGAGCTGGAGAAGCAAATGGCAAGCCACTCCAATATCTTTGCAAAGAAAACCCAAATGGGCTCATGGAGAGTTTGATGTGACTGAACAATAACAAAATCTGTTAACTTCTAATTTAAAAATAGGTGATATTTCACTCAGAGAGACAACCCATGGGGGTAGAGTCAGAAGAGATTTTTTTTTTTGCAAGGTCCTTATGGACTTTGTTCTTTTGACTATCAAGTGATTCATATTTGAGCATGTACTTAATTCCATTTCTGATGTCCCATAGGTACAAAAACCACGTGCCCATTGACGTCCATGCTAACCCTGAAAAGTACACCATTGAGAGCCGATATGGAATGCACTATCTGAAGATTAATGAGTAAGAGAATCAAAACTTCCTTGTGTGGCCTTGAAAAATTTCTTAGTGATGTGTGTGTATGTAGAGAGGTGTGTATGTGTATGTGGTTGTGTATTTGTGTGGTCCTATGTGTATGTGGTCCTGTGTATATGTGTGTTCCTGAGTGAGAGGTGTTTAAAATAAACAAATGTCATCTGAAGGAGATGGTGCCTCAGCTGTCTGAGCTGGAAGGTATTTTAGATGTCAGCCTAATCCTTTCGCTTTATAGTGGAAGAAATTGAGGCTCAGAGAGTATCAGTGACTTTACCCAATATCACAAAGCTTATTAGTGGCAGACCTGATACTTCAGTTGTCCAGGGTTTTTTGTCCTAGTATGTGAATAAATTAAGTCATTCCATTTTGACTTGAAGATGGAACAAAAGCTCTCTGTTTGAGCTGAAGTTGGATATGAGGTGGGTGACTTCAAACAAATTCCTTTACCTCTCTGAACCCTCTTCTCTGCTTATAAAATGATTGGGCTGGACAGATGATTTCTAAGGTCTAGTTTCTTAAGACTCTTGTAAATTCTGAGCAGAACTAGGACAATGCTCTGGGTAAGGTTTCAAAACTGTGACACTTCTCCCTCCCCTATTCTCTCCTTCCACCCTTGAGTGTGGTGGGGAGGGAGGAAGGAAGGGTTTGAGCTTTCACTGTAACGTAAATGATTTGACACCAATAGACCACAAGAGAGTAGAATTTTCTGGCATTTAAAATGATAGTAAGTTTCATTAAGAAGTGTCTTGCACTGGGTCTCCCTAATTGTACCCTAGGCAGCCATTTACCCTGCCTCCCCCTAGGTCCAGTTGTGGTTCCGAGCCTCAGCCAGCTCTAAGGGCCTATGCATAGTTGCATTGCCTTCATATACTTATTTTCTCATTTCTTACTTAGACATACAAAGCAAAATCATTCAGAAATGTAATTCTACTAATTCTTAAAGGGTATCTAAAAATATAAATATTAGTGATTCATATTCTTGATACATACCTGCCATTACATGGAACTAGTGCCAGATATATAATACCAAATAAATAATACCAAATTCATGCTACAGACTACTCAGGTTTTGTTTATGTAAGAGACAAAAAATAACCCCAAAACTCTGAAGCGTATAGGATATGTGTTCATAGTTATTCTTCTTTATGTGTTGCCCGAAGATTTTTTCCTTGATAGTATTTTATATTATTTTCCAACTGCATGTGAAGATAGTTTTCAACATTCATTTTTGTAAGATTTGGAGTTCCAAATTGTTCTCCCTCCTTCCCTTCCTGTCCCCTTCCCCAAGACAGCAAGCAATCTGATATTCCTTGAAGATTTTATAGAATTGAGCTGTAGGAAGTTAGGACCTAACTAACTTTGAGGCCATCTAGCCTCAACCCCTCATTTTTGACAAGAGGAAACCCAGACCCAATTTCTGCATTGCTCAAAGTCACGTGATTTATGACAGGAACCCAAGTCTTCTGACTCTGCAGACTTCTCGTGTTTTTTTCTGTTATGTCACATTGCCTTTTTTTTTTTTGAGGCAATTGGGGTTAAGTGATTTGCCTAGAGTCATACAGCTAGTGAGTGTTAGGTGTGTCTGAGACCAGATTTGAACTCACGTCCTCCTGATTCCAGGGTGGGTGCTCTATCCACTGTCCAGCCTAGCTGCCCCACCTCTTTGTTTTTTTCAAAAGCATGAACAAGAAAAATAGTTTCTAAATTGTTATTGTGTAAATTACATTTATTTCATTATATCTCTTTGGTTCCAGAATGGCTTCATTGCTTCCCTTCGTGTCAATAATTAAAAAAAAAAGCAGTAATGTCTTGCTTGGGAGATAAACAGCTGGTTGGCAGATTCTCTCTCTTTTTTTTTTTCCTTCAGCCTTATCATGACCATGAGAAATTAACCATATCTGTATATATTCAATGGTACCATGCAATGAAACATTTCATCTCACTAATTAGGCTTCATTCAGTTTCCTCATAAAGAGCACAAGGTTTACAAGATGTCCTCTAAGGTTTTGCCAGCTCTAAGATTCTTTCATTTCAGGAAAAATGAGACCCAAATCATGTACTAACCCAATGTAAAGTTTGAAATCAGAATTCATTTCAATCTTTTGAGGTTTGCCCCCCCCAAAGTTCATTTCCTCTATTCAGGCAGTTTCAAAAAAGCAGCTTGGCATGGTAAATGAAAAAGGCTAAACAAAGTCCTGGCATTTTCAGTTCAGATAAACCCGGGAAATCTGGAGCTGTCAAAAGAAATTTTGCATGTGGCTAGTCTCTGGAGAGTGTTGTAGTCTTTTTCTCAGATCAACAAGTTTGCATAAGTTGGCAAGCTTCAGATGCGGCTCCAAATGGAACCTTGTGAGATTGACCTCAGCCTTGATCCTGACCCAAAGTCATCACAAATCTGGAATGGCTAGATCAGCCCTTTATGGCTCCGCTGAGCTCCAAGGCTGCTTTAGTTACCTCTCACTCAGTCCATGCTGGATCCTCTGTGGCTATTGAATAAATGGAAAGAGGAAACTACACTCGCTTTAGTCAACTATCAAGTACTCAGCCTGTTCTATACTGGCTAAACTTAACTAAGAGCAAAGGAGCACATAAGGAAAAACGTGATGTATTAATCAGTCGAAAAAGCACTTATACAAATGCACATTATGTGCCAAGAACTGTGCTGAGTGCTAAAGACACAAAGAAGGACTTAACAAAAATCCTGCCCCAAAACACTATGCCAGGCTGTCTATAGGAAGGAATGATGGACTCTAAGGTTTGGGTTCAAATTCCACCCTGACGCTACCTCTGCAGGTCGCTTAATCTTTATGTCCCTCAGGCAATTCTCTGGAACCTCAGTTAAGTTGGTTGGCCTTCATCTATTTTGGTAAAGGGAGTTCCCGCACTGATAAAATTGCAATATTCCCACACATGTATGTATTTGTATACGTGTACAAATGTGCTGCCCTTATTCTTATTCCTCCTCAGAGATAAATCAAAACTCTGTGTGTGTGTGTGTGTGTGTGTGTGTGTGTGTGTGTGTATAGTAATAATCTTGGGGGCTACAATGATAAGGACATTCCATAGCGACATCTACTGCAATGTTTTCTTTTAGGCTACCTGCTTTCCCCTTCACTCCCTCCAGACTTTCAGAAGACTTTAACTATAGAAGGCAAACAGTATAGAGTAGAGAATTTAGATATTTTCACAGGCTACAGTATTGTTTGGACTGGGAAACATTGGTCTATAACCCCCCAGAGCTGTAATTAAAGACGAAACAGAACTGAGATTCTGTTGCAACCATGCCCGTGAGGAACTATGTTTTAGATCAGCCACTGTGGAGCAAGAGCAGAAGTAAGGAGGTTGTGGGGGCAGAAGAACATTGAATATCTTTCCCTTCTGCTGCTCCCAGGCAGAGCTCAGTGGAAAGGGTTTCTGGTGATCTCCTTCACCTCTAATGCTCCTTAGATTTCCTGTCTACAGAAAGTGTGAAGGGAGGAAACAAGTATTTACTAAGTACCTTCTATGTGCTGGGTGCTTTACAAATATTCTCTCATTTGATTCACACAACAAGCTTGGGCAGTAGGTGCTATTATATCCATCTTACAGTTTAAGAAGTTGAGGCAGACAGTAGTAAAGTGACTTTCCCAGGGCAACACTGCTGGTCAGTGTATGAAGCTAGATTTGAGCTCAGATCTTCCTGACTCTAGGTCCAGCCACAGAGCTACCTAGCTGGGAACTGGCTTTAAGCTATTGATAAAGTGCTAAGTCAAGGAAATGTTTTGTCAACTATTTTACCAGCACTTATCTTAGATAGGATTATTCACAAAGTAAGCTGCTAGGTGTCACAGTGCTGGGCCTGGAGTCAGGAAGACTTATCTTCCTGAGTTCAAATCCAACCTCTGGATATTTACTAGCTGTGTGACTCTGGGCAAGTCATTTCACCTTGTTTGCCTCCATTTACTCATCTGTAAAATGAGCTGGCGAAGAAAATGGCAAACTGCTCTAGTATCTCTGCCCAGGAAACCCTAAATGGGGTCACGAAGAGTCAGTCAAGGCTGAACAAGAAGTTCACAAAGCAACCCATAATGCTTCTGTTTGCGTAAAGACCGCCGTCCTGAGACTTTTTCTGAGAGTCTGGTCAGTACAGGTGGTCCAATACAAGGATTGGTGCAGGCTAAGTAGGGTGTCTATCCCCTTTGTTTATTGAAAGGTTAGGGAAAGGAAAGGAAAAAGAAGCAATAACAATCATGTTAACTGAAGAGGGAGGTGGCCTGCTAGAGGCATATATTACCTGCCTTAATTCAGATCCAGGAAAAACCCATCAGGTCACTGTGAGAGGACACAAAAGATAAGTTCATTTCTTACTTGCTTCTGAACCAGTTCATTCTTCTTCCACCTAAATATTCACAAGGCGCTGCAAAGTTCTGCTTCTCTGAAGGGATGCGGAAATGTTGGGATAGAATTGAGTTGGGCTGTGCTGTGTTCTTTCCCCTGCTACTCAGAGGAAGGGGAGCCTGAGGGCTAGGGGGTGAGCCCTCTAGTCCAAGCTCTGGACTGGATGGAAAGGAAAGGCATCCCTGCTGCTGTTGGCTCATGAGTATCATCGTCCTGGGCTTCAGCATGGACTGTCTTTCAGACTCTTGCCTTATACTCTGTTTTATCTGGGCCAAGCAGAATCCAGAGTTTTTCTAGGGGTGACAGATACTAACTCAGGAGAATGCATGTGGGGGCGTAGCTGGCTGTTTTCCTTGTGGCCTTCCAGCCTCCTCATAGGGTCTTCACTTTTTGGGGGTGGGGCATCTGAAGGTAAGGAGGATCAAAGGCCTTTTCAAGGTGACTAACTGATGGCAGCTTAGATGGCTAGGCGTGAATAGAGGAAAAGAAAAATGTCATTCTTAGGGTAGCAGAGGCTAGGATTAGAGTCCGACTTTTCTGACATTCTCCCAGGGCCAGAGTGTGGCTTTTGGGCTTTGGGCCTGTCTCAGCTTTCCAAATGAAATCTCTAGTGGTTCAGTTAAAAACAGAGAAAACTTCTTTCACCTCAGTACCTTTAACAAGGCATAAAGTGTGGGGCAGCTACATGGTGCAGTGGATAGAGCACCGGCCCTGGATTCAGGAGGACCTGAGTTCAAAACCGGCCTCAAGCACATAACACTTACTAGCTGTGTGACCCTGGGCAAGTCAGCCCCATTGCCTAGCCAAAAAAAAACCCAAAACAAAACAAAAAACCCCAACAAAGTATAAAGTGCAACATTGAGGTGAAATCTGGATGGGAGGACTTCAAGACTAAGTTGAACTTACTGCGGGCTTAGCTGGACTTAGCTCTGGTTGCTGCTGCTTTATCTTTCTGCTTCTATGTGAGGATGCACAGGGGCCACTGGGCAAAGAGCCCAATGCATGCTGGGGCAGTCCCATTTTGCCTTCAAGCAGCAATAATAGATAACTGCTGGAGCAAGACTGTTCATCCCCCATTTCCTGCTCCTGGGTACCACCCTTACAGTGACTATAACATCCTTTTAACTTCATCAAGTCTTCTAATTAGTTGGATCTGAGACAGTAGCCTTAATACCCCACCCACCCACCCCCCACCAGCCATTTGTTAGACTCCCATTTGTAATTTCCCCACGTTAACAAAAAGCTCTTTAATCTCAAAGCTAGTAATTAAGAGGAGTGTTGATATTATGGCTAATCATTTGCATAATGTTCTTTCAGATGTGATTTTGAAGACACTGCTCAGTATCAGGCTTCTGCTATGAATGTTAAAGGAGAGGTTTCAGCTTACGCTTCCATCGTGGTAAAGAGTAGGTTTGCAAGATTTTTTTAAATTTCAGTTGCTTATCAACATATATGTCTATACGCATGCATGTACATGTGTATATATGCATTACATTTTTTTCATGATGCTAAAATGAAAAGTGGGTGGTGGTGACGGTGAAAGAACATGACTCATTTTCCTTCTTTCCTCCTGTCTCCTCCAGGATACAAAGGAGAGTTTGATGAGACTTGTTTCCATACTGGAGCTTCCACCATGCCCCTCAGTTGTAAGTCTGCTCAATTTCTCCTTCATTTAAAATTCATCCAAAACCCCAAAAGTAAACTGATAGCTCAGGGTTTTCAAAAAGTATATGATTGCTAAATCACACATTAAGTTGCACTCTTGGCACCATTATCGTCGGGTATCTATGGTTATTTTATTTGTTGAGATTCTGTTTGTTGGTTTCTTGCTTTCTCCAAGGGCAGTAGAATTCCATTATAACCCTGGTAGTGTTGCAGGGCAAAAATAGCATCCCCTTCATAGCTTTGCTGCTTTATAGTGAGAGTGATGGTCAGCCATAGTGGCCCACACCTGTAATCCCTGTGACTTTTACTGAGAAGGCTGAGGCTGGTGCATGACTTGAGTGTAATAGTTGTGAGCGGCAGTAGGACTATGCCAGTTGGGTATCCACATTCCATGTGGCATCAATATGGGGAGTCCCCCAGAAGCTGAGGGCCACCAGGCTCCCTAAGGAGGGGTAAAATACTGAATAGTTATTGTACTTCCAGCCTGAGGTGTGGGGAAGAGGGAGACAGAGAGAAAAAGACAGGTAGATAGAGACAGAAACAGATGAGAGAGACAGACAAATAGAGAGACAAAGCCAGACAGAGAGAGAAAAAGAGACATGGGGGGTGGTGGTGATGATTCAAACTATAGTATATCTGAGTGCAGGGTATACTGTGACACTTTATTAAAGGATTCTCCTGTAGTTAGATTTACAGAGATAGAAACTGGATCTGTGGTTTTATTGATACAGGAGCTCCCAGGTAAGAAAACTACGTCTATCAGTGAAGAACAGCATCTTCTTTGTGACGTATAGTTTTGGAGGGTTGTATAGGGCATTGAGAAGTTAAGTCACTTCCCAGGGTCACTTAGCCAGAATATGCCAAAGATGGGCCTTGAGCTCAGTCTTCTTGGCTTTGAGGCCAGCTCTCTAGCCATTGAGCCATGCTGTCCTCTGGACCAATGCTGGATGGTTTTTTGCTTTATTTTGTTTTAATGTTAAAAGATGGACTCGATGGCCTCTGAGATACCTTCTGGCTCTACATCTATGGTCCTCTGATCTTTGGGAAGTTGGTGTCTAGTGAGCCTTTGAAATTTGCTCCCCCTCCAAACAAGTAATTTGATCAGTCTTATCAAAGGCTGCCCTAACTCCTTCATTCCTCTCCTATTAAAATTCTTGATTTCATTTGGACAAGATAAAATAAATGACTGAGGTTTTTTGTTGCTTTCCTTGTTATTTTGGGCTCAGTTGGTGTCACCCCATATGGCTTTGCTTCCAAGTTTGAGATCCACTTTGATGACAAGTTCGATGTATCTTTTGGAAGAGAAGGCGAGACAATGAGTCTGGGCTGTCGTGTTGTTATTACCCCTGACATTAAGCATTATCAGCCAGAAGTTCAGTGGCTCAGAAATGGTGAGTATAAATCCTGATATCTCTCTTTAGCACTTCTTCATAAGAAGGTAAATTAATGCTGGCTTCCAAGGCGTGGCCCCATAGCATGAGAGCAGCCCCAGAGAAAAGGCAGTAGCTTGAAATAAAGAATGGACAGGGTGAGAGTATGGCCTGAGTGTTTGCTGCAAACAACCCAATTTAGCTCCAAGTCTGAACTCATGGATTTTGTAGGCCTGACAAGTCTGATAAATGAGTCACAGACTTAAGGAATTACTCCTGTCTCCTTTCCTGTGAGTAACTCATCCTACCACTTACAATCCCGGTCTTTCTTAGAATTTAAAAAAAAAATCACCTTCATCTATAAGAAATCTCTTTAAGTTGCCAACAAAGTGTTTTCTATTAAAATCAAATAAGAGTCCTTGATAGATTTTTTTTGTGAGGTCTATAGGAGGTGTCCAAATCTGCGATTTCATCAGTATAAGGAACTCCTGGTATGAAAACTTCTTCCTGATACAGACAGTGACTTGCCCATGAAAGGCAGAACTTGAATCCAGTTCTTCTGACTCTCAGGCCAGTTTTCTATCCACTTTACTGTGTTACCTCTCTCCTTGATAAATACTGCTTCAGAAATAACTTTGTTAAACAATCATAGGTGTACATAGAGTGCAAGCCTAGTGTGACCAGGAGTCACCCTTACCACTGGCCTTTGAGTGAAATAAGCTTAGAATTAGGGTTAGGTTGTACCCCCTAAAATGGTAATCTCACCCCTGGTGACGGGATTGCACCAATTGTGGCTTTCCAGTTTTCTCTTTTTATTTGGCAAAGGTCCCACCTCTGATGTGTGTCAGTGGTGTTTTCCTCAATCTTCCTCATTTGCCCAGGACGTAGGACAGAATGATTCTATTACTCCTCCTTCCAGACTATACTTGGAAGTCTTTGAGCATTGTAATTGGTTGAGGGAGCAAAGAAGGGGGAAAAGGAAAGGCAAAGAGAGTTTTACTCACCCTGTAGCTAATTCACTAGCCCCATTCTTATAGAGTTAGGAATCTGCTCTCAACACCTTGGCTGGACTGTGAAAAACTTTCCCAGAATCTAGGGGATCAACTCTTATACAAGTGGCCATAGGTTCTTAAGAGTCCTCATAATAAAACACAAATGAAGGGTGGCAGTAAGTTTTTACATGACCTAAATTTCTGGTTTAACCCCTTCTCCTGAGTCAGACGGCCTCCAAAATATGTTAGAGGTACAATAAAAAGATTTACTTTATGTTCCTTTGTCTAGTACTTCTAGAATACCTCACATTTATGAAATGAAATATCTTGCATCTGTGAGATAGGCCAGCAAGCAATTATGAATGAGGATGTGCATATGCATATACATATACATATATATATACATATATATGTATATGTATATATGTATACACATATCTCTCAATCTCTCTCTCTCTCTTTCTCTCTCTTTCTCTCTCTCTCCCTTTCCCCCTCAGCAAGTAATATCACTTCATTTGTATTTATAAAGGAAGGCTGGCTCTTGCAGTTATAGTAACTATAAAGCAGACATTACAAAATGAATTGCCAAAGTTATGGTTTAGCTGCCACATGAGGTAGCAGATCCATTGAGGCATTGACGTAACCAAATTAGTGTGGTCTAGAGTTCCCTAACTAGCTCTTATATAGTATGGATTGCTGAATATCAACATTTTAATAATGTATTTCTATAATTTGGGGGGAGTTTTATAAATCTCCAAGTGATGAGGGAAAAGAAGTAATGAGTTAAAAGTATAAATGTATTCTTTTTATAATTTAATTTGATTTAATGTAATATTTTGCTTTAAGTATTTTTCCTATTTTTAGGTCATTTTAAGAAATTGGCTTTTAAAATCTGATTTTATGGATTATTAAAATGAGGGATACATTAATCAGCATGAAGATAGATTAAGAAAATGTTTCAGACTGTTTTAGTTTTATTCAAATTTACCAGACTCATAGTCATTGTATCTGAATCATTCCTACACCTTGCGTGCAATATATGTACAAAATTGCTGTCAGGGTCAGCAAAAATATAAAACTGTCTTTTCCTTCAGCTCACATTATATTTTGGGCCATAAGAAAAACAAGAAAAAAAACCCACCTCTTTCAAGTGTTTTCTTGTAACTATGCCTTTTCAGAGGCATCAAATTTGCAGGCAGTGGTCTACAGGCAACCAGTAAAATTCCCTAGTGTGGCTTGAACCACATTAAAATGTAATTGGAAAATGTTTAACAAATAAATAAAAATACAATACAATATAGCTATTGGTAATTGGTAATTTTCTAAGTCAATATGGGGCTCTCAGGAATCCTTTCTATTTTGAGTTTGATGCCACTACTTTAAATAATCACTTAATGACATAGTGTTTCAGGCCTAGAAGAAAATAAGGATTTCATTTTGCTAAATCATTTTATAACAATTTGTTTTTTTGTTTTTTGGGTGTTTTTGGCTAGGCAATGGGGTTAAGTGATTTGCCCAGGGTCGCACAGCTAGTAAGTGTTATGTCTCTGAGGCAGGATTTGAACTCAAGTCCTCCTGAATCCAGGGCCTGTGCTCTATCCACTGTCACCTAGCTGCCTCATAACAAATTCTTTAAAGTCTAAAAAAAAACATAGAAAAGTATTGCTATCAAAGTAGGTGATTTAATTCAAACTTCAGAATGAATGTCTAAAACAGATATCACAAATCTTAGATCATATTATATTTAAATACATGAGGATGTATATTTCTTGGTCAGTGAAAGGACCTAATGGACAATCCCCACCTGCTCATGTTGGCCTTCTCTACTTTCAGTTTAGAGGAGAAAAATATTATTGGCTTTCAGGAAAATGTACTCCCTACCCAGTTCAATTTGCATGTAGATGACAGCAGACCTGAGAGAATTCCATGGATACTCTGAGCCAATCAGAATGTTCAGAAATCAAGGTAGCGATGGAAAATAGTAGATCTGAAGAACAAAACGCTGGCCCATTTTCTCTAACTTTAAAGCATGAAAACTTCTTACCTCTGGAGATTTCTGTGAAATTCTCAGAAACTTATTCTGGCTGGGAAAGAAGGATGTTAAAGACTCGCTCAATCAATCAATCAATCAATTAGCTACCATTTATTGAGAATTATAAATGAAGCTACTGTCATAGAGTATGTAATGCTAACCATCCTGGTCGCCATTGCCTGAAGGCTGGATGTGGTAGATTTTACCATTTTCCCAGCCAAGGTTCTCTGGTACAGTGAATTTTCCGGTGAAGAGATTTCTATAGCATAATAGAGAAAAGCCCAGGTAGATGAGTCAGCAGTGCATCAACTAGGTCTGATAGGACATGCAATATTCCAAACCTGTAGTCTTCTTCCTCTTCTCCCTAGGGAATTCTTGTACAAACCCAATAGGGAGTGACCATAAAGTAATCAGCTTTTCTGACTGCATTTTTATTTTCCAGGGACACTTGTCTCTCCATCAAAATGGGTCCAAACACAATGGGGTGGAGATCGAGCAACATTGACCTTTTCCCATCTCAATAAAGAGGATGAAGGGCTCTACACTCTCCGTGCGGATGGGAGAATATTATGAGCAATACAGTGCATATGTCTTTGTCCGAGGTAAGAGATGATAATGTTAATGCTGCTAATGTCAGTGCAATGTGCTTATGCTCAAAGCTACAGTAGAATTCAGATGATGGTCTATTTTAAGGAGCTCTTTGAAAATACTACCAGGACATGTAAACATGGGGAAGATGGAAAGACTTTTGCAATGCAAACCACCAATACAGTTACTTGACACACTATCACCTATGGAAAGCCATTGAGTTATTGCCCAAGGACAGATTCTTATGGCTTTTATCATGACCTTCCTCATCCACCAACTAACTAGTAATTATAGTACTACTTCAGTTCTCTATAGGCTCAGTGGAGACATAATGAGTACTAAGGAGAAAAAAGAAGTGTTAGTTTGTAAATGCTACAATAAATTCTTTCATCCTGAGCCAGAATTAACATAGAACAGCTGAATCTTTGCCCCAGGTACCAACATCTAGGAGGCATGATTAGATTTTACACTCCCCCCTCCCAGCAGAACCACATCTTTACTTTTCTTTCCTCACCTTTACCAGACCAGTTGCCACCCAACACTGTTTCATGTCCTTCTTGTTATTCTTCTGGGTCCCATCTATCCACTGTATACAGTAACAACAATATTGTTTTAAGAACAACTATGAGTGAATAAGTTATTTTGACTATTATAAATACCCAAATTAACTATAAAGGATATATGAAGAAAGACGCTGTCAGAATCCAGAGAAAGAACTGATAAATAGAAGTATAGAATAATTTTACACACACACACCTATTTGTGTCTAATGGTAGCCATCTCTAGGGAGGGGAGGCAGGGAAGAAAAAAAAGTAAAAAAAGAAAAAAAAATTTATATAATAACTTCATATAATTATGTGTTTATATAATTATATATGTAAAAGGAATAGCAAGTTATACATAATAGATTTGTAGTTTCCTGTGCAATCATCTTTTTATTATACTATGTTATGGAAATGCTTGTATTATTCCATAAATTAAAAATTAAAAAGAAAGAAGTGGAAAAAGAAAGAAGGCAAGGACACATAACAATGTTGCTTTCTCATTCTTTCCACATAGTAAACTTAGGATCATCTAAGGAAGGCAGTAGGTTCTGGTAGCTACCACCTCAGCCCCAAAAGAAACTCAACTGTAGCCCTCACTAGTACCTAGACTCCTTTCTCTTCCCTTTCCTCTTGAAATCCTCTATTGTTAATCTTCCATTGATCCTAGATCTCTACCTCTCACATTCCTTCTGCCTTCTGGGGTTCCCTGAAATCTAGTTTTCTTCTAAAGACACTATATCTCTTGGTACTCTCCAAGGTTGACTGCTATTTCTGTCACATCCCCTAACACACAGAGTTAGAAGAAGGATTTGGTATCCTCCTGGCTTCAAAATGTTACTTTCAGACTGTCCTTTTCCACCATCACTCAGAAACCTTAAAGTTGACTTCCAGATCCTTATTGCTGACATCTGTAGACCTCCAGGTCATTCCCCCTCCTTCCAAAAAAGTTCATAACCTGGATCATAGTCCTACCCCTTCTAATGACCTGACTTTCCAGTTCCTTGACTTGCTCAACTCCCATGAACTCTGTCTCCAGTCTACCTCAGCCACACATAGGAGTGGTCATATCTTTAAAATGTTTCTCAGTCCTCATCGTTCTTAACATCTCTAGAGCCTTTGAAACTGTCAATCATTTTTTCCTCCTGGATATTGTCCCCTCTAGGTTTTCATGATCCTGTTTCCCCTTGGTTCTCTCCTACCTATCTGGTCATTCTTTCTCAATCTACATTGCTAGATCTTCATCTGGGTCATACCTGCTAATCATGGTTATCTCCCAAGGAGCTATCCTGGGCTCGATTCTCTTCTCCTTCTATATCTTGCTTGGTGATTTCATCAGCTCCCGTGTGTTCAATTACCATGGCTGTACAGGTGATTTCCTGATCTAAATATTCAATCCTACTTGCTAGTCCCACATCTCAAGCTGGATGTTTTTATAGGAATCTCAAATCCAACCCGTTCAAAACATAATTCATTGTTCTTCCCGCTCAATCACTGGGTCAAAGATGTGGACATTTTAGTCAGTTTCTTTGCATAATTCCAAATTGCTTTCCAGAATGGTTGGACCAGTTCCCAGCTCTGCATTGGTGGTGCACTTGTCAAATAGTTCAACAATTCTGTTTTCATCTTCTATACATATATTTTGAAAATCTAAGTTGTTTGGCAAGTTCCTTATGGGCTCATTCATGTTATTATATTTTAACAACTCCTTTTCATCCTCACCAGAATTATTTCTAACATTGGTAAAAATAAAAACAGAGTCTACTCTACATGGGTCAGTGGAAAATTCCACTTGTCTTTTATAATTGCTGTAACTGAGATTCTCAGTTCTCTATGACTGTTAGCTCTTGGTGGTTGACTCTTGTGGCTAATGGTGGACTAATCCTAAGCAGGCTTTTCCATCCTTTTTCATCATATGATGTTACTTGTTTGCTTGCTTGGCAGCATGGCATTCTTCATTAGCATATTCTCGCTAAAACTTTACTTCAAAGAGAAACTGTCCTCAGCTGTTGCCCGGGGCGGTGGTGTCTTACAGGGAAATTCAAATTCCAGCCATCTCTCACTCCTTCCTTTTTCTTCTTTCCTCTACTTGTTTAGACTTCAGGACTTTTATCATGTTCTGTTTCTCTGCCTTACCAGAATTCCCAGCCTCGCTATTTCTCCAAAGTTGCTGTATTCCTCCAAAATGCTTAGTTTATGCCAAAGTATCTTCCTAGATTGCAAAAAACCTAGCTAATTGTCTTCTAGCTTCCTGGGATAGTTCCAAAAACATTTTTTCTTTCCTTAAAAAATACTCTAGCAAATTAAGTCAAACTTGTAAGAATACAAGTCATTCCCCAATTGATAAATGCCAAAGGATATGAATAGGCAGTTCTCAGATGAAGAAATTAAAGCCATCTATAGTCATATGAAAAAATGCTGTAAATCACTATTGATTAGAGAAATACAAATCAAAACAGCTCTGAGGTACCACATCACACCTATCAGATTGGCCAAGATGACAGAACAAGAAAATCATAAATGTTGGAGAAGATGTGGGAAAATTGGAACACTAATGCATCGTTGGTGGAGTTGTGAAATGATCCAACCATTTTGGAGAGAAATTTGGAACTATGCCCAAAGGGCTACAAAAATGTGCATACCCTTTGATCCAGCAATAGCACTTCTAGGGCTATATCCCAAAGAGATCATACAAATGGGAAAGGACCCAATGTACAAAAATATTCATAGCAGCTCTTTTTGTGGTAGCAAAGAATTGGAAATTTGAGAGGATGTCCATCAATTGGGGAATGGCTGAGCAAGTTGTGGCATATGAATGGAATACTATTCTGCTGTAAGAAATGATGAACAGGCTGACTTCAGAAAAACCTGGAAAGACTTATATGGTCTGATGCTGAGTGAAGTGAGCAGAACCAAGAGGACTTTGTACACAATAACAAGCCAAGTTGTGCGATGACTAATATTGATAAACTTAACCCTTCCCAGAAAAACAAGGATCTAAGACATCTCCAAAGGCCTCATGATGGAAAATGCTATCCATATCCAAAGAAAGAACTATGGAATTTGAATGCAGATTGAAGCATACTATTTGCTATTTTTTTTCTCTTTCTGGTGGTTCCTTCTATTGGTTCTAATTCTTACTTACAACATCACTAATGTGAAAGTATGTTTAATAGGAATGTATATGTATAGCCTGTATCAGATTGTGTGCCGTCTTGGGGAGGGTGGTGAGGAGGAAGGGATAGAAAAATTTTAAACTCAAAAGCATATGGAAGTGATAGTTGATAAATCAAAAAAAATTCTAGCTTATTATTTTTCATCAATACTAAATCTGGCTCAGCTGTTTAAGACAGCTGAGGCTTATGTTGCTAATTCCAAATACTCTTATTTTCTTGGATCTGTGACCACACCAAGAATGGTGCCACTTTGCCAAGGTATGCCAAACTTTACAAGTTACTGACAACAGCCTGGCTTGCACTGTGTGTGAAATAAAAGTAAGGCAGGAATCATGGAAATTTGAAGTGAAGCCATGAACATGAGTTGCAAACCCACAAAAGAGGAAAAAATGGAAGCAATCATATACTCATTGGCTCCAGAATGATTCCAAAAAAAGGGTATCTTACGTATTTTTGCTAGTTGCTAATATAAGTAACTCAAGGCACAAACAACTCAACATTTCAATAGTCATGTTAATTGTAAATTTAGCAAAAAGAATAAGGCTTTGATAAAAGTTTTTCCTCTACATAGAATTTATTTTCAAAGTTAGCTAATTTTCTAAAACTTCCTATCTAATGATCTGCATGAGACAATCTATTTAAATCATTCACTCCCTGACATAAAATGGGACAGCATCTATTGACTAAATTTGCTTTTAACTTGCATATTTTTGTCCCTTACAAAATAGCTTCTGAGCTACCATGAGCAGTATCTGCAAATTCCTGTTCAACTACTGAATATATAAGAATATCTAATTGTTTGATATTTGCTTAGCTGAGATTTTACAATTTTAATGTTACTCATAGGCAAGTTTTGCTGCTTATAGTTTAAGCGATTAACATTCATCAGTACAATAAGTGTGTGCGCCAGCAGCATGAGGTTATGCACACTACTTCTCCTTTCTCATTAACCAATTGGTTTTTAAGGAAAAGTCAAAAGACTAGATGCACATGGGCAATTAAAATTCACATCTGCAATACCTAAACATCTTCAATTATTTCTTCTCCCTACACAAAGACCTGCCCATCCTTGCACCATCCAGGGGCAGGACTCACAGCATAGGGTAGCTAAAAGTTCTCTGGGGTTCAGGTTAAGAAGTCTCCCTATGTAGTCCTGTGGGCTGGAGGCCTGTTGACTGACAACAGATTCAGACTGTGTCCAAAAAGTCACCTGATGACAAATTGCAATCTGTCCTTTTAACATAGTTCCACTGAGTCCTCAAATCATTCGAGCAGTAACAACAAGCATCTATTAAG